TTAAAATTTCATTACTCCAAGGTAAAGCCTTTAGAAGTCATTAGATCTTGAGGGTGGAACCCTCATAAATGGCACAAGTCCCATTATAACAGAGGCCACTAAAGCTTATTTGACCTTTTACCACGAGAGGGCACAGAAATCAGGAAATGAGCCCTCATCAGCACCTGAATCTGTCAGCACCTTGATCTTGGACTTTCCAGTCCTCAAAACTATGAAAAATAATTCTGTTGTTTATAACTCTATCCAGGTTATGGTAGTTTATTATATCAACCCCGAACTGACTAAAAAAGATCTCATACCATGAAAATTGTGACATTGGTAACATTTTTTTTTATCACAATCAGAATGAACTTGTCATTTCTTCCTAATTCTCTGTTCAATGCTAAGTATAATTGAGAACTTGTCAACTAGCTGTAAAATCATGCATTCTTTTTTTTGGATACTGGGGAATGCATTCAGGGGCACTCAACCACTGCACTGAGCCACATCCCCAGCCCTATTTTGTATTTTATTTAGAGACAGGGTTTCACTGAATTACGTAGCACCTCATTTTTGCTGAGGTTGGCTTTGAACTCATGATCCTCCTGCCTCATCTTCCAGAGCTGCTGGGATCACAAGCATGCACAATGTGAAATCCTGCATTCTTAATAGAAAAATTGGCCTCTGTGGGACAGAAACTGGTTCTTGTAAAAGCTAGTTAAAATTTACATAGGTATATATTTATGTGTATACATAAGTATATGTGCATGCATATGCATACACATACATATATGACATATATATGTATGTGACATATATGTCACAGATAAACAGTATTAAAGTACAGATATATAAACAGAATAAACAAATATGCAATGTATCTGTGGTATTAAACTATCATGAAGGCTGAGGTTGTGGCTCAGCAGTAGAGGGCTTGCCTAGCACGTGTGAGGCTCTGGGTTTGATCCTCAGCACCACATAAAAGAAATAAAGGTATTATTTCCAACTACAATAAAAAAATAAATATTAAAAAAGTATCATGAAAGAGGAGGAAAAATAGGAAAAAAATATCTAAAACACTCCCTGGTGGGAACAATGAAAAGGAATTAAGAAATGCTACTTGAAGTAAATGTTCAATGACATTTGCTAGTTTCATCCAGCACAGTAAGTACTTTTCCTTAACATAATCCTACTTCTGAGTATTAGAGAGTCAACTGGGCACAATTGCTTGTTTTGTTTTTGTGTCATATTGACTTAGGAAAATAAGTCTGCACAGAAAATAGAAATATTCCGATGACTCAGAGGAATAATATTTTAAGTGTAATTCTCATATTTCATCTGAGGACTACACACTCTTCCAAAAGAACATTTCATCAATCCTCCAAGCAATATATTTTACAGAGAAACAGAAAAGAGCACTCTTAGGTTCTCTTAACCTGTCTCCATGGGGATAACAATTAATTGTTCTAAATTCAGGCCTGGGAATTTTAATCTCAGAGTAGTAGAGAGCATCTGTGGAGCTCTTTCTGCAGTAGTCATGGCTCTCAGGTGAGGATTGCCTAGGAATCTCTGATGACCTCATACCCAAGAGATCTGATGAATGAGCCACTCAGTAAAGGTCCATGCAGAATCAGTGTTGTCCTCAATGTCACTCTTGCCTCCTCTCTCACTACTCAAGGCAAGTTGTCTGTTGTAAAACACTTCTCCTGGGAAATGCACTGGTTGTTAAGATGATTTCCAAAGGATAACTGCCTTTTCTCAAATGCAAAGGTGATGCTACATTCACAACAGAAAACTCATCTGTTGTAGCAAGTCCAGAAGAGAAAGTAATGGAATTCAAACATGAGTGATTACACACATGGCAATAGCATCTGTCTTTCCAATGAATTTGAATACACTTGTGTTTGTGCTCCAGAGATACAGATTTCTCATTTTAAGATAGAATTCTCTTCTGGAACTCTTCCTGTGAGAACATTTCCCCACCCACCCCCATCTACGTTCTGAAGGCACTGAGCCTTTTAGATCCATATTATGCCCTTTTAGAAGCAATGGTACCCTCTTCAATTAGTTTCTAATGGGAAAATACATATGCTAAAAAATATGGATCAGAATTTTTCAAGATATCACCCATAGGGTCCATGTAGTCCAACATAATTGTCCCAGTTTCACCTGCATGGGTTGAGTTTGATAAATATGCTTTCTGATAACAGGAGAAATGCACATGGATTGCATTCCATGTTTAAACCCCACTGGTCTTTTTTAAGCTTGAAAATGAGCATTACCTCATTCTTTCCTTGATTTCATGACCTTATGTCCTCCTGAATTTTCTCCTACGTTCATGCTTAACTTCTTCTTCCTTATTGACTCAAGATTTCTGCCCATCTCTTAAATGCTGTTGTCTTCAAATTTTCTCTTTTTTCTCCCTCTACAAAATATTTTGAAATGATCCTATCCACCAAATTTCTCTGTATGTAATGGCTTCTGACCAGGTCTTTTCCCTAAATATCAGACCTTCATTTAACAGCCACTTGAGATATCAACTCATGTGTTCCCAAATTCTCAAAATCAATGTCTCTCACTGAGCTTATCACACCTGCTGGAGAGCCATCACCCCTATCTTTCCCAAGATTAATGGATAATGTACATGCCAAAATTTTGCTAGAAGTCTAGGTAAAATCCATGGCCTCTTTCTCCCTTTCCATCTATATCCAATCACACACCAAATGTCCCTTTCACATATATTCACTATTGCTAATACAATTCAGTTTACCATTATCTTTAGCCTGCATGAATTTATCAGCCCCTTAACTATTTTATTGTTTAGCTTATACATAAAATTGTACACATTTATGGGGTACAAGGTGATGCTTCAATATACATATACATTATGTGATGTGCAGATGAGAATAAACATATCTATCTCTTCAATATCTTTTACCATTTGTTTGTGGAGAAAACAGTCAAATCCTTTCCTGTAGCATTTTTTGAAATACACAATGTATTATCATTATCTACAGTCACCTTACTATGTGTTAGAACATCAGAACTTCTTTTTCCTAACTAACTATAACTTAGTGCCCACTGATTAACTTTTCCCCCTCCCCACTGCTCCCATATTCTCCCAGCCTCTGGTATATGTAATGGCTCTACCATCAACTTACATAAGATTACCTTCTTCAGATTCCACATGTGAATGTGATTTTCATGTGGTATTGTTCTTCTGTGCCTGGATTATTTCACTTACAATGATCTCTAGTTCCATCCCTATCATTGCTAAAGACAAGATTTTATTCTTTCTTATGAACAAACAGTATTCCATTCTGTACACATTTGCTTTATCCAGTCATCTATTGATGGACACTTGAGTTGTTTCCACTCTTGGTTTTTGTGAATAGTGCTGGGCAAGCGCAGTTGACTCTTCAATATAATATCACTGAATGGTATGGTCTTACTGTTTTTAATTTTTTTCAGGAAACTCCATTTTGTTTTCCATAATAGTTATACTAACTTTCGTTCCCACCAACAGTGTGCAGGCATTCCCTTTTTCTCTATATACTTGCCAGCCCTTGTTATCTTGTGTGTGTGTGTGTGTGTGTGTGTGTGTTTGCACCTATGCATGCACATGCACTGGGGAATAAATTCAGGGCTTCACACATGCAAAGCAAGTGCTCTAGCATGGAGCTACATCTCCAGTCTGTATCTTTTTGTTAATAGGCATTCTATCAAGAGTGAGGTGATATCTCATTATGGCTTTAACTTGCTTTTCCCTGGTGATTAGTGATGTTAAACACATTTTTATATGCCTTCAGCCATTCGTACATATTCTTTAAGGTCTGTTACTCATTTTAAAATCAAATTATTTGTTTTTTTGTGGGTTTTTTGTTTTACTATAGTAATGTGTGTATTATTTGTATATTTTTAATATTAATCCCTTGTCAGATATATAGTTTGCAAATATTTTCTCCCATTCTGAAGGTTGTTTCTTTGCTCTGTTAATTTTTTTTTTCTTAATGGTGGAGAAGATTGATATAATCCCATTTATTTATTTTTACTTCCAGGAAAGAAATCTCTTTCCAAAAAAAATCTTTTTTATTCTAACGTTTGGAACCGGTTTTGTATGTTTTCTTTTATCTAGTATTTTTATAGTTTCAAGTCTTACATTTAGATCTTTAACTCATTTTTTGTTGATTTTTATAAGAAGAGATCTGGCATTGTTCTTCTGCATGTGGATATCCCATTCTCCTACCACCATTAACTGAAAAAAAAAAAATCCTTTCTCCAATGCATGTTCTTAACACTTTTTTAAAAAATCATTTGGCTTTAGATGCATGAATTTATTTCTAGGCTTTCTTTTCTGTTCCACTGGCCTATGTGATTTATTATTATTATTATTTTTACCAAGACCATGCTGTTTTGATTATTATAGCTTCATAGCATGGCTTTCTTCTCTTTCTTTTTTTTTTTTTTTCTCTTTCTTCTCTCTCCAGTATTGCTCCTGTAACTGTTATATAATTTCTTCAGGATCCTTAACTCATCATTTTCTCTTCTCCACTAATCACTTATCTCTCATTTCCTCTTCATGTCTTCCAGGAATTTAATGTTCAAGTGTATTTCATTAAATTTTATTAATATACCATCATCTCTCTTGTCTTAGTTTTTTTATGCTTTCATCATGGAGAGCTCCCTTCCTGCCACCCTCAGGACACAGCAGATTTCACTCCAGTATGCTGTCATAGTACACACCGTCACTAACATCAGTAACATGGCTGTTTGCATCCCCTGTTCCTAAGCATATATCATGCTCCTGTCAATGAAGGAAAAATGCATTAGAGCAACCAGGCAAGAAAAAAAAGTAAAGGACATCCAAATGGGAGAAGATGAAGTCAAATTGTCACATTTTCCACATAATTTGGAACATTTACTTTAAAAAATTAGAAAATTAAAGAGAAGCCTGAGAATTATAGACCTTGGGAGATAATATCTTGCTTTCTGTGACTTCTCTCTCTCTTTTTCTTTCTCAGAGCTCTTCCTGCCATGATGCAATGGGTCCGCACGCAGAAGCCAGGAGAGAGTGGCATCAATATTGTCACTGCCGATTTTGTAGAACTTGGTGATTTTATCAGCACTGTCATAAAGCTCAACTATATCTTTGATGAAGGTGAAGCCAACACTTGATAGTACTATTTGGAGTGGCCATGAATAAGATAGAGAAGACTCATTGTATTAGGTGTATTATCTGTAAACACTCTGATTTTCCTTTTCCACTGAGTCTTGGAAAGGATTAGGGCTTGTAGTGGGTGGGGAAAAGGGGAAATCATTTCTTCAGTGATTATGTCACAATCTACTATAAATATTTCATTTCCTATTTGATGAGCAAAATCTACTTCTAGTGTTAGGGATAAAAAAGTATAGTGAATTTTGTTTTTTGAAATTAGTCTTTTAACGTACAACTCATGAGTGGTTACTTGATTGCATTTTATAATTTCAACTTAGGGCTCCTTTACTGTCTAAACTCTCTAACCTTTCCACTCCCTCTGTTGCTCGCTCTTTCTAATCAGATGCTGTATGGTACTCAAAACAATTGAATGTCCAACATAATGTGTATTACCTTGTTGTACTGAAATTTATTTGTTTTGTGGGACTTTATATAATATTCTGTAGTCGTCTGCAATTGGGCAATCATAGCCAACTTTTGGTCATAGAAAATGTGCATCCAATCAGTTTCCCTGCATCAGTGATATTGGAGGCCATAATCAGTGATATTTGTGTTATATAAAAACAATAGTGTGTCACAGTGTTTCCATTTAAGGCAGCTATAACTATAGTGTAAATTTTTTTTTGATAGGACTGAGTGCCAACTCCCTAGTAAAAAACGAGGAGTGAGGTATATGGGGGGAGATGGATGTCACTTTAGTTCAGCAACCCCTAGAAGTAATAATACCCTGCAAATACCCAGTAAATGATGTTATAGCAAATGCATTAAAATCAGAAATATGGATTCTTCCAATAACTTTCTTAACAATTTTGATTTAAATAAAAGGAAGAACAAAGAAAGATGAAAGGATTTCCAAATATATTCTGAATCCCAGGTTTTCAGGAACATTTCTCAAGAAGTTTCAATTGACAGGAAGAAAGGAGAAAGGAAGAGTAGCGGACGGAGTGTTTTAGAGCAATGTCTTCGAAACTACATCCATCAAACCACAACGATCCGTAAAATATCTCTAGGAAATCCTTGAAATACGTGTGATCTGGACAGACTTGTTTCAAATTGGCAATCACTCATCACTTCTGGAATCTATCCTGTTCTAGAGGTTAGATGAAGGCAGGGGGCAAAAGTGTCATACAAAGATTCTGTGACCTAACTTTTGATAATTCAAGCCCTTAGGAAAGGACAGTGATAACACAGTTTGAGCACTGCGTCCTTTTGGTGTCTTTACAACAGTTGACAATTCCAAAAATTAGTTTTCAAAAACACAATGCCCCCTTACTTGTATGCATCACAGGAATATTGTGAGGCATTTATACAGATCTATAAAATTTGTTGAAATCCTTACAATTTTGAAGTATTTTTATCTTCATATTTAGAAATAATCGCACCTCCATATTTTTCTGGGACAGTGCAATTCCACACAAATTGAGACTATGGAGAAATAAGAAGCATGCCCTCAGCTTTTAATTAATCCAAGTGCAAGATGTATAATTTAATATCTTAGACCTAGGTAAGGGAGTTGATTACATATGTCAAGATTATGGATAATCAAGAGTTGATTTTGAGATTATGAATGTTCATTGTCAGAAAACAGTACTTAATAGTAACTGCAGAGAGGGAATAAAAGATTTTTTATACTGAACAGAATGTTCATGAAAAATGTAGTACCTGTTTAGACCAAGTAGCACACGTATACATTTTATAAGCAACAGATACATTTGGACATTCCAGTTGAGTGTATATTCTTTGTCATATACAATATACCTACACATACCCACTCCTATGCAAGTAGCAGATACAAATATACACAAACACACAAAAAATAGACAGATACAGTATAATTCTTTTCAAGTGAAAACACCATTATTAAATAATTTAATTTTAACACTTAGTCTCTTAACAATGTAAAAAAAGGATGGACACAACCTTTGAAAATTGAGTAGCTGATCATATTAAAATATTTTTGTAAAAATAGTTTAGAACTCAAATATTTACAGAATATAGTTCTTTTCTTCTATTTTCTCTTCCATCACAGTTTTTTTTTCCCTTTTCACCTGCTTGTTATGTGCAACTGAACATGAATTCTTTTTAAAAGGTTATGGGCTATTGAAGTTTTTGTCCTGTAAATTTGCTTTTTGAACAGGCTTTTCTTGCTGGTTCTTCATCATTCATCACTTCAGATATTTCAGCAATTACACTTGTTATGACACAGGATTTAACTTATAAATATGACAGAAAACAGGTCTTTCAGCCTATTAACGAAAATGAATAAAATACAGAGGTAACTATATTGTATTTTCTTGAAATTAAATGCTTTCCTATAACGTTTGCATAGAATTAACTTTGTTATATTTGTCATTTGGGTGCTGGAAATAACAAACTTGAGGAAGCATTCGACAGTGCAGTTTGTAAACTGAGGACAGCTTCTGATTGCCATTAGTGATATGCACACAAAGACCTTGTTAGACAAAAGGTACTTTCAATCCAATGTTCTGATTTCCACGTGGACATACAGTGCCACCTCTGTAGCAGGCACTAAGAGTAAACAGACTTGCCTTAATTCTAAAGGAGGGTAGAGATAGTAAAGAACCCTGAGAGAATTCACTAGAGATTCCTTGGAGAGGGAATGGCAAGGAGGTGCCTTTGGCTGTGTCTGTTCGTTGGTCCTGCCCTGGAGCACACTTAGGAAGCAGGCTGTGGGTCTTACATGGAGAACCGGGGATGCATTCCAAGTTTACCCTCCGCCTATGCTCCTTTGTCTCAGCTGGGCATTGTGTTTTCAGAGAGGTAGGAGCACAAGGGCTACAAAGAGGCCCCAAGATGTAGTAAACACATCTTGGTGCATTTTTTGCTTTGCTTCTTAAGACTTTATGTCACAAGTCCTACAAGGCAAAAAACTAAAATAAAATCCAACTTTTACCCAATCTTCATCAGGAAATCAAAGGAGTGGGTGAAGTGAGGGGAAATAAGCAAAAGATATCATTTATACATTTGCCTTCCTGTCAGCAGTTTTGGAGCACCAATATGGTGAATACTTCTCCTGCCATAATCATTTATGTTTCCTTTATTAGTACATAGTCATGTGAACATAAGGAATGAGGAAGCATCCTTTAAAAGCCTTAGGATTTTCTATATGATGACCTCAATATTCACTTTCAGCCATACCGGGAAAACTCACTTTTCATGGAGCGCCACCTAACAGTGAATGTACTAGAATACAAAGTGTTTGGCATGATGCACCTGTGTGTATGTATACACACACACATAAACACACACACACTCAAGTAAGAACTGCATCTAATTATCCAACCTGGTTCTTTTGCAATTTTGATTCTTAAAATCAATCATCTCCTATGTTAGTAGGCATAAATATAGCTCAAGTATTTAAATATTTAAGGGGAGAAAAATTATTTGAAAACCAATGTAAAGTGAGACCATCAGAAAAAGGACACACGTGGCACTAGTGGTCTGACTACATTGTCAATGACACTTGAAGCTAGAGAATCTAAGCTGGACAGTGGACTTTGAATATGCATTACACACACATATACATCTTCACTTAAAGGTGTCAAAAGTCCTTTGAGGGTCTGACATGTTTTAGTAAAGCAAGGTTACATGTTGTTCTCCCTTTATAGGATTCCAGACTAGAAAATTGGAAGTCTCAGGAAATGCATGTTTTCATGAGTTTTTCAATTCTACAGTTTTACAAATATTCAGTGACACAATCTTTTAACCTTTGATTGCACAACTAAACAGGAGCTCCTTAGAAAGAGTGTTCACCTTTTGAATTGCTAAGAGAAAATAATACAGTGCACCTCAGGCTATGCTAAATACGATTTTTAAAGTGTTTTATTTTGCAGCACTTTGTTTTTTCAACTAGGTTCAGTAACACCGTGGTGTAAATGCTATATTTGCCATAACTTATTGGTGGCTCCTGTGTTCCATATGGTTTCAAATAATGCTCCAAATTGTTTGTTTTCCCAAAGACAGTGATAAAATGTTCTGTAGAATTTGTAAAAGGTGTTGACTGAATCTGTTAAAACTTGTGTAATTTTTATTTCACTTGTGATGCTATTTTATAGTTATTAGTTCTAAATGTATATTTGTATGAGTCAAAACCATGTGCTTGTCGGTGGTATGTGTAAATATATTGTACCTTACTAAATATCAAACTTATCCTAAAGAAAAAGGGCACATTATGACCAGCCTTAATTTGTCACCATTTTTTTTTTTTGGTTGTCATTGCTGCAATTTGGATTTAAACCTTAAACAGAAATTATGTTTTTGTTAAAAATGACTTTAAAAAAAAAATCTTATGTGGTATGTGCTTTAGAAGTTTTCTGAGTTTCCACAAGCAAACCTTCCAGTTTGCAAAGCACCTATGTTTTTCAAACAATCAAGCATTGATTAATTCACTAAATTCATCATCATACAAATAGACTAAATTCACTTTTTGCTTCCATCAGAACCAGTGCATTGCTAAAGTTCTTCTTCCCAACATGGAACTTTGTAAAAAGATTTTTGCTTTAATGATAACTTTTCCATTACAAATAGTTTTTCTCTAGACCATTATTTTTGAAAACTGGATCTTCTGAAGTAAAATGAACCACCTTGGCTCTGTGAAAGTTGCTGAAGCTCCATCAACATGATGTGGTCCCAACATGGTTCTCTTTTCAAAAAATAAGCATGCAGCACTCACACTATTCCTGTTTGACCTGTGTGCATCCCACCAGTAGAAAGCTCATGATTTTAAGAATCTATCCTGGCAGTTATGCTCAAAGCAAAAATTTTACAATCTTCCTTAGACTGGGATCTGGACTTGAAATATTAATTAAACTTTTTATTTCCTCCATCTCCAAGAATTTGTTTTTAATATTTAGTGTTGCCAAATAAAATACAGAATATTGGTAACATTCTAATTTTGGATAAATAATTATTTTAGAGTATATCGTATATATTTCATCAAATATACTAAAAACTGCTTATATGAAATTCAAATTAAAATGGATATATTCTGTATTTTTTTCCTAAATTTGGCACCCTATCCACACTGCCTCTCTATCTTTTCCAACTGGGCTACCCATGAGGAGTGAGATCTACCTCCCTCTGTGTCATTATGTTAAGACACCTTGTGCAAATCTGCTGTTGGTGTACCCTTCATGAAGGAAAATATTGGTCCACACCAGGTCCCGGAAATGTTTTGTGAAGGACCAATTCAAAACTAGAAGAGAATAGCTGGACCTGCTGGCACAACCCATAATCCCAGCTACTCAGGAGACTAAGGCAGGAGGCTCACAAGTTCAAAGCCAACTTCAGCAGTTTAGTGAGGCCCTGAGCAACATAGTGAGACACTGTCTCAAAAAAAAAAAAAAAAAAAAAAAAAAAAGATGGGAATAATCAAGCAATTATCTTCATTAGATTAGTGCTATATCATTCAAAATTTCCCGTCATTGGCCTGTTTTGAAGCACATAGTCTCCCCATTTATTCCTTAAGAAACATTACCCAGTAATTGAGAAAATGAAAAACATACCCGTGTTAAAAATTCTCTTGTTCTATAGAAGTAGCAGTACCTTCTAACTTAGTACCAGAACCACTTTTAAAATTCAGTTTCTTTTTCTTTCAGAAAGGTGACAAATTAATCCATTATCCCTTCACTCCCATTA